GCATCTCTTATTAGGTCGATACTCCATCGAGTGAGGAACCGCTTACTTACCAGTACGAGCATGCCACTCAACAACCTTTCTTCTCCATCACAAAATGGCTATATTTTACATTAAATCAAGCTTAAAACTCTTGTAATAAAATACTTGGTAAAGGCAAATGGATCATATTTAAATTCATAAATAATTTTTAAAAACATTAACAAATTTAAAAACTTTTCACCTAGTAACTGAATATACCGTACGGATAATGGTTTGAAATATTAATACTGCAAATTCAAAAGTCCAGCGAAGTTGCGTCGTTGGTTGGTCACGGACGTTTTATATATTTTGTTCAGTGTTTTTCGAGGAACTGTTAATTTTTTAGAAAGTTTCTCAAACCCCGAGTTAGTAAAAAGAACTAAAAATAAGTCATAACAATAATTATACAATAAGAATAATATAAGAGAACGTACCCCTGAAAAACTCCGGCGTTAGTCGTCGTAGGGTCGAAAGAGTGTAGCATGCCAGACCCTAAAAAGACCATAGAGACATCAAGGGAAAACAGCATTTGCATACCCTACGGGGAGCTTAGTAGAGCCGTGGCTAGTTCACCCTCAGTGAACAAAGAGGAACTCACTTGGCTGACCCGAGGTGAAGGACCGGCCCGAGGTTGTCACTGCGACTACTAAGCTCCCCGTTAGGAAGCGGAGGGGCTAGTGTGTGAAGCCTATGCCCAAAAGAGGCACCCGTGCCGACAGTGACAATTATCGGCCAATGTAGGTACCATTAGTTCTAGGTTTTAGAGGAAAATGGGGACGCAAATGCTGTTTTCCCTTACTTACGCGAACACTACATATTTAATTAAACTACTTCTTAAATGTTGCATCTCTTTGCGTATTTTATCGCATTTACCATGGGGAGTGCTCTGAGGAATTGTTCGGATTAATTCCATCCGCTCAATTTCACCATCGCACATCGTGACAAAACTTATACATAGATACTTATAAATATACATACTTATACATATATATAACTTATACATAGATACCATCCATATCACCTGCATGATTGGCAGTCCACCACTGTGCGATTTAGCAGATGTTTTCTTCCTCGCACAACTTCCTTGTGGAATCGATTACCACCAGCGATTTTTCCGGATCGATACGACTTAGGGACCTTCAAGAAAAGAGTCTACTCCTTTTTAAAAGGCCGGCAACGCATCTGCAATTGCCCTGGTGTTGCAGTTGTACATGGGCGGCGGTAGTCACTTACCGGGTATACTGGGTACCACGTATCAGGTGAGCCGCATGCTCGTTTGCCCCCTCTCCTATAAAAAAACGGATTCTATTACGTTTAATTATCTTGTTTTTTTTTATTGATTCCCGACGTTTCGGGTACTTTACAGCACTCATGGTCACGGTGGAAAGAGGTGACTGTCGTCCCGATGTCAGCGTTATCCCGGAGTACCTTCAGCTTTTTTAATTATTAATTTTGGTCCGATCTACGCAGAATGAACTTACGGTATCTTGAAATTTTGCTGTGGTATGCTTGGGATTAGTTTTAATTTTATTAATTACAGGATCCCAAGCAGGTGGTAGTTGCCAGCTTCCCTCTCTATTGAAATTAGGATGTTTTTTAATTTCAATAGCATCACTTATCACCCTTGGCAGGAATTGATGTTCTTTCGCCAGAATTTGTGGTTTATCAAATCTAATGTAATGGTGGGGGCCGTCTAGGATATGATCACAAACTGCAAACTTGGAGTTTGTGAATGTTGTAAATGAAATTGTTATAGGTATGACCTAAAGAAGACCCTAGAGTTTCTTGCTGATTCTTCTCTGAGAATGCCTTGCGTTTTTCTAAGCGTTGTAAATTTTGATGTAACAGAATAATCAAGAGGATTGCAGAATATGTAGGAGTAATGCTGGGCGCAAGCTACCTCTGAAATCTGAGAAAGTAATGAAGCCATTAGTCCGCCGTGGTGCTCTAGTAGACCTTGCTCACCGCTGCAATCGTGGTAAATCAGTACTTGAAATTATAATTAACAATTTGTGAAGTTATTATTGGGGGTTCTTGAACTGTAGATATTACAGCAGCATCGTTCATATCATCATGCATATTCGTTGGCGTATCAATATAAGACTTGGTATTATCGCTCTAAGAAGTATTTTTGAGGTAAAAATATGTTTCAGCTGTATTATGGTTGTAGCAAGAAGGCTCGACCGGAGAAGGATCAAGCTCGCAGAGAATATCAGCGTAAAATAGTAACTTAATGCAGCTATGTTTGGCATGGTGAGTGTAGAAAACGGAGAATCTTTTAACTAAAAACGAGGCATTTCATCTTAGTCCTCAGGGGTCGAGGAAACGAAGATCACCATCAGGCGAACTGTTTGTCATCCCTATTATAAAATAAAATCCTGGTTTCTGCGTCGCGGTTCCTATATCCGTATTGTGTATGGTTAAACTTTGGGTAAAAACATATGTAAAGTATATGTTTTTACCCAAAGAGTAAATGAATAAATGAAAATAACAGTAAATACTTTTAAAGACTTAAAAATTATAACATAATACTTTTACTTGCATATTCAGTGTGGCGGTAAAAAGCCTTTGCAACATATAAGAGATAAAATTTATTTTCGAAATATATAAGGTTCAAATATTGATCGTGATGAAGTTTAAAAACTTTCGACCTGGGACCTCTATTAAATTTAATTTTCAACCTTGTTCAACTAATAAATGTCATAATATATTTTTCTTCAACAAAACAATTATAACTACACCCAAGAACTAGGAATTTCTCCTGCATCGTGGAGTTTTTTTAGGATCATTACTAACCGCAACGATACAGCCAAATGCTTTGCCACTGCGTACCGAACCATTTAACTGTATTATAAAATTAAATAATTTAAAAGCATGACAACTATTCATTTATCAAAATCTTTAACCAATCGTAGCTTCATCCTGTCCACGTGTTAGCCTAATTAAAAATACAGAATTTGTTTATTTAGAGCTACTCTACTAACTATAATACACCTCAATCCAAGTCAATATAGTACCCCCCCCCCCCTTCCCCAACCTATTTTCTAATGCAAAAAACCCCTAGTGGCTGAATATTTGAGAAAATTTCGAATATTAGTTTTTATAGAAAATTTCAAAAAACCTCAGTATAATCTAGAACATTATGAATAGAAAAACTACTAGGCGCTAATGTGGGTGCGTTCACTTGTCGCCGCCCGTGCGCCTCCACTCGTTGTTTTCTTTTTGCACTTCAACAGCTCTAGGGTGCGTATCAACGGCGCCGAGTGTCGGCGGGTGTAAATTGAAACACTTGCAAATTTACTCCATACATTATTCATGTGCCAAACACACTCAGAGCGAGAGGCTGACAGTTCCAGTTGACGTACAAATTCACAAAACTGAATTCCGTACAGAATTAGGTCTCACAACTTTTGAACGTTTAATAACTTAGACATAAAAATATGATGATAAAACTCTACTAGACTAGATATTAAATAGTAAATAATTCGCTTCCTATATTACCGAAATTTATTAGAAAACGAATAATCTTTATATTAAAAAATCACACCCTTTTAAAACAACTTTTGAGGTACATAAGTAAAGTGGGTCAACTATTATTAAACGTCTAACAAATGGTTACCCCTCTTAAGACGGGTCTGCAATAAGGATTCGGTTCAGAAACCCACAACCTGAATTATTTTGACCCTAATAAATTTGTCGAGTCAAACGGGCGTTGTAAGACAAATGAGGTTCAAGATGTGTGGCGGTACTAATTTACTTTTAGATTATTTGGTTCTACTTTATTATATGTTACAATACGTGAAATAAATATTGGAGTTTTTAAGTTTACATTTTAGTATTGAAATCAAGATATCTGTTTTTTTTTTAAAATAAATTTGAATAAAATTCATTAATTCATTATAGCCATCAAAACTCCACTCGTGAACTAAGGTCTCTCTCATAAATTGCCTCATATATTTGGCATATCTGCTAGGTAAGCGGTTTGGCAATAACAGTTTTGTTTAACATTAGTGATTATCGCGAAAATTCTGCTAAATGCTCATCACTTGTTTCCGTTTCCCTTTGTCGCTTCTTGTGAAATCCATAGGATGGTAATATGATGTACGAAATTATTATACGCAGCCACAATACGACAGGTCGAATAGAAATCATATTATCGAATGTTATATTATATTGATCTATTTCATAACCTATCTTGTATTGATAAGAAATAATTATTTAAATTTATATAATCTATTTTATTATAAAAAGTGATTTATTGTTAATTTCGGGCTTAAACTTAGCTGCGCCACTGTCTTCGCAAATTTGATATTTTACTGTCAAACATTTTAGTTCGCATATTTGCATCTTTCGTTTCACATCTTTCGTGAAACGGATTCCAGTTAGTAGAAACCACAGACTAAGTTTATACCACTTTTTGTAGTAAGGCCGAATATGTTGAATTTTATTAAAACTGATTTATACATTTGTTCTCAATGAGAATGGTTTAAAATTAACGAATGATAATTCCTTGGTTATGAATAACATCTAACTAATGCTTTATCAGTATTGTAAAATAGCTTAAAAGGCTCTGAGAAAATTAGCGGTGATCAAAGCCGGCCATAAGAAAGTCATCTAAATAAAATTGAAATAAATAATTTTGATTGTAAGGTAAACAACACTCGAGCTATCTAAAATGAAATGTTAATTTACAAAACACATTTTACCTTCAAGAGTTTAATGTAATTTCTTTCTCACCAAGGCGTTTCCTGAAATAAATTACAAGTGTAAAATTCACAACAACAAAAGCGAAACAACAAAAGGCTCGCGGCTCGCAACATCCGGACGGCCCTTCCAAACTTAGCAGCCTGATTACGGATTTCCGAACAAGAAAAATAAAAAGAAAAATACGAAACATGTTTTCAACCAAGTGTTTGGGTAAAAAATTATTGTTGGTCCATCATAAAATTGTGAACAAAAAGTGGAACTACATTAAGCTGGCGTCATTCCTTGTCGACGTTTTGAATTGATCGTTTTCTTATCAATACAACATTAATATAATAATCGACATAATCAAATATATTTGGCTGAGGAGTGTAATGCTTTACATAAAGATGAAAACGTGGATCTTTTTGAAGTTGCGTGTTTTTCAAAGAAGGTTCATCTGAAGATAAATTTGTAGACTTTAATGGACCCCTATTTTCACAGGACAAAGTTGATCTGACCTTTCGCCAAAGGAAAGGGTTTTTGTGCTGTGGACCATGGTGTGTTAAAATGTGGCGGGTATCTTTGACTTTCTGTGGCGATGCAGTCAATTCGTACATCTGAGGCAGAGAAAGATACCAATAATCTGATCCATTTCCAATAATCGGAAATAGCTTTTTGTTCGAGAAACGCGATTTATGTTTCCGTACAAATTCATCGTACTTCTTCTTAAGCCTTTTCATATATTCTGTGTAACGGATTGAATTTAAAAGGTTTTCAAATTCTGATAGCTCAGTTGTACCTGGTTCTGAATATATACCAGCGCGAACAAATGTTCTTAAAAGATGGTGTAACTTGAAAACAACAAATGCAAGCCATTTTCGAGCTTCTTCTTCTAGAATTCTTAAATCGTCCACTTTACTTCTAATTGAGAACTCAATAGCTTCGGCAGCTCGTCTCTCTCCACGTTCTTTTACAATTTGTAGCCATCTTCGATAGGAATAATAACAAAATTTAACACGTCTTGAAAAATGACCTCGCCATAATGCCTGTGGGCAAATATTAGTTTTTAAGTAAAGCTACGAAAGGTCAAACGATAAAGATACTTTTTTGAAGTCCCACCTGTATCTTTGTTGCAGCCTGGTTATATCTTTTAGCGTGTTTATTCCGAACCGCTCGTATCAGAGCTTCTCTATATAGTTTACGGCTTCTATGCATTCTAAATGCACATTGGATAACCGTAGCCTTCTTTGCAAGCCATGCAAAATATTTTCTTATCAAATACCCCCGAACTAAACGCTGCAGAACAACGACTGCACGATAACGCTTACATCGTTGAGATTCAGCAAGATTTGAACGTTCATTTAACTCTTCATAAAAACATTTTGCATTTGGTAAAAGATGGTGTACTGTTGCCATTGTTATTATTTGACAGATAGTTGCAGTGAACGTCTCAGATCATTGTTTACAGTAATTGTCATTTATGCATCATTAAACCATCGAGTGTATATTTTCTTTGCCATCGAGTATTATATAAACACTGCGTTTTAAATTAAACCTTCATTTAACTAACAAGGTTAAATAAATCAACTTTTAATAAAAATGACAACCAACTATACAATAGGAATAATAAGTAGAATTTCGTTTAAATACTTACATTAAAAATTATCCTCTTTTTAGTATTATCAAATTTATCTACCCTATGGAATTTTTTCTTAAATTTTTTTATTGAAACCTATACAATTAAAAAAAAAACAATTTCTTTTATCGTTTTAGATGTTCCCGAGAAAGCGGTTAACACACATAAAACAAGTGGTAAAATTAAAAATGTTGTACAACTGACTTTAAATAAAATGAGAACATCAGCAATGTAGTCGAAGTCAATTAAATACGCATTATTAAGGATAACCCATAAACTACGGTTCAGATCTTCATCAAATTAATATAGGATAACATGAGAAGTACCAGCTCAAAAGAATCATCATCTAAGTACTGAGGTAACATACATTAAAAAAATACAGTCGACTCGAAAACCTACGAAAATAGGACTTAATTATAGAACCCTTTTTTAAAACTCGGTTAAAATAGATGGCACTTATTTTAGGGCTACATAACCACGCCCCCCACGCGCCGCTTGTTTTAAATCAAATCGCAGGTCTTCTATCAGCGCGAGCGTGGGTTAATATCGCTCCGTGAGTTCTTAACCTAAGACCTTACCTTATCACCTTGGTTTTTGTATCTTTATTTGTTTTTGTTTCTTTTTTTTTCTGTTTCTGTCTGTCTCACTTTCTATTCTGTCACAGAGGTTTGACTCTTGTAGTGTTTTACGTAGATTATTAACTTTTGGGATAGTTGTAAAATGCGACTTCCCAAATTGCCTAAAATACTTGATATTGGAAAGAAGATAAATAAGAAAGTTTACATTTTTTATACGGTCGTGTGAGATATCAGTTAAGAGGCATTTAAAATAAAATTAAAAAATATATTTTGTATTTAATTTTGTTGTAGTGATATAAGATAATCCATTACTCCATATCATCCCGTGGATATTCTAAGAAACATGCCATGACAGAGGGAAATAAATCAGGAGATCGGTAGCAACACCTTCTTAGTAACAACTTAAATTAAAAAAAAAAAACTGTGATTGCTAAATCGCCTGCCAAACGTTGCAACTATAGACAATATATGAGGTAACATAAATGCCTCCCTTTATGTTTAGGAGTGGACTTTTAATAGGCTGTAATGAGTAGTGGTGAATCCATTCTTTTCTCGTCCAGTTGGGTTGCATAAATACTTATATAAACATATAAATATAATATACTAAAAACATAAAACGATGAAATAGTATATGTTACAAAAATTGCAATAAAATATAATTAAATAAATAGATAAAACCCAACCAGACGGAAGCCCTCGCCTAGACCATACAGAATGGTAAAGTCGAGTAAAAATACCCTTGACTATGCTCGGTCCATCAGCACAATATCAGTTTTATGTGTAACAATAGCCCTGTCTGTGATGATGGCCTGGTCTTAGTAGCCCGGCGTGGTCATTTCCAAACACGGCTTCCGGTTCTTACTATAAGGCAGTTTCCGATCAACGAGACTGTATTTCAGAGCAAGCTCCTGGTGAAGAATCCTGGCTACTAGGTTGTGTCTGAAGTACTCAAAGATAGTAAGCCTTGAACAACCGTAGATTACATATCTAAGTGACGTTATTATTATTATTATTATATGTGGGCTTTTTATTATTATTATTTTAACAAATTCCATAAAATTGCTGTCCCACACCGACCAATTTTAATTTGATGTATCATATTAAATTGGTTTCATGTTCTTTGTCAACAATAATAAGACTCGTTAAAACTGGTTATAAAGTTAAGCTTGATCATAAAAATAAAAAACAATTATGGAAATGAACATAATATTGCTATTGGTATGAAGTCATAAATAGTTCCGACGTTTGAATACGTTAACATATTTCCGTTTTATTTCTCATTGTAATAACACGTCGAGTTTTATTTTAAAGTTTCCGCGCCAGCTCCCCTTAACTCTCACTCAGGCTCGTGTGAGACATCATGAATAATTCAACAATCTAAACGGCAAGGTGTGCTCACCTGTTTATTTATTTTTGCCCAAAATTTACGGGTAATTTTCATACATATGTATGTTAGAGAAATAAAATGAAAAGCCAAATTGAGGTGATCGTACCGAGTTACAGATTAATTTCAACACAAGTGAATATTTTGTTCCCTTTTGTCTATATTCAGTGCTACATTTTTATTTGCAAAACAATACAACGTGATAATGAATGTGGAAATATTATCTCTTTAATAATAACGAGCTTTAATAATAACTGTAATAATAATTTACTTTGTAAATAATATGTAATGTGTTATTTTGGAATCTTTTTAGCGGTCAAGTTGTCATAAAGTTATTAAAAAGCAAAAGTTAAGTACTCGTATACTACGTATATACCCAAATATAATATAGTGGGTAAGATTCCTCTAACGAAAAGGTAATTCGTACTGAAGGATAAACTTAAATTTAATAGTTGAAATTATGTTCCCTCTTAGGTTGGTCTACACACGGCAAATCGAAAAATATATTTTTCATTTACATGTGCAGTGAACCTTTGCTTCTTGGCATTTTATTAATTCTAAGTCAACGGGAAGTACACTATAGTTTTAGATGGGTAAGTTTGTGAGTATCATAGTATGTGTAAATAATAAACTTAGGATAGGTAATAGACGGCCATAGTATGCAAGGAAGAAGAAAATTCCTAATGGCAATATTGCTAGATAGTAAAGTATAGCAAATGTCATGACTCTGTGACTGATTTTGAATGATAGATCGTCTCATATATAGTGTATTATCTATGGATCGTTTCAAATCGGTACACAAGCAATGAGCTCCTCAGTATTTTTTTTAATACAATCATAGTTATTTTAAGTAAATACAATTGTCTTCAACAAGAAGAGTGCGGTGATACTAATCAGGATAATTGCACATATCACAGGTTAATTCTCAGGACGACGTATAACGCGTTATGTTAAAATTTATGTTTCATTCTGTTTCAAATATTTAATAACTTCAATAACTGTTAATTTTTTAATCTCGTAAACCCAGTTTGGCTTAAGACTGTAGATGATGTTTGCTCGGGAGTTGATAGAAACGGTTACTGAGAATGACATGTTGTTCAGCCCGGAGAGCAGCCAATATTTATGTGATAATATATAATTTGTTATATTACAGAGTTGTTGGAAAACTACGATAACGTTATCTAAGCTTTGGTTAATTTACGCTTATGACCCGATGACAACGCCGCTACAAGGCTATAAATGTATAAACAGAGTTATTGAACAAAAAAGAGCTGCAAACTATCTCGTTGGTTATAAATAATATTTTAGTTTTATTCCGTGTATAATTAAAACGTTATTATATATTAGAATGACGGGAAAATGTAATATCTTACCGATTCATAAAAAGTGCAAATGACTACTTGCATTGACGTTATATTAAAGCACATTAAAGTAGCATTTTCAACATTAAAGTGGTTGGAATTGCTATTAAAATGCTATTAGCTAGTGAGAACGGTATAGCATTTCATCAACGCTATAAAAAGTTTTATTGCATGCGCACCAAACTGTAATTAATAATGTTTACTTAATGTAGAAATAATAACGTTTGCATAAACAAATTTAAAGCTACTCTACTTGTTGTATAATTTCACGGAAAATCGGAATTAGGCATTCATTATCTGAACAAAATAATGGAAGAAAGGAATATAAATAAATATAATGGAGTTATATTACAGTCACATAAATGTTGGCAATCCACTTGATGGTGAAGGAATCATGATGCCGAAGGGAATTCGCGGTGAAAATGGCACATCGCTATTTTTTATATTATATCCCTCTAATTTCTGAGAGGATTTTGAAGCAATTTTTCAGCCACATTGCTCCATTCTGTTGGCGGGCTTCACGTGTCTTCGGAATATTTTTTCCTTATTTTCTTCTTTCACCGCCGAGCAAACTTGCAATCAACTCAATACTTGCAAAAGTCAAATCAAGACTTGCAATGCAACAATTACATTGGCCTTGGTGATGATTAAATCCGGTCTTCTCGTATAAAATTACGGCAAGTGCTTTGTCCCTGAGCTACCATAGTTATTTTATTGTTTAATTCTTAATATTGTTCTAATTTATTAATTTATTTAATAATTATATTTTATAACCTAACTTAAAGAAAAATACGGTAGTAAATGAAATTAATAAAAGACTGTGGTTGCCAATCAATCTGCGAAGTAGGAACTATGTCAAATATTGTCTAATGGGGGTAATATTTCCTCACTATTAGAGAAACTATAGGGGAGGCATATATTTGACAGTGAACTTTTGATAAACTGTAATGAATGAATAAATGAATTTCTGTGTTAAATGTCACTGATTTTCATTAAAAATTAGTAATTTTTATCTTGTCTTTATCATGCATGTTTTTACGCTATTCGTTACTCCTCCACCTATACTAGGATTTTCTAATGTATCGTGGAGACAATTTATATACATATATTTTACAAGGACAAACATCCAGATCCGGAACAATTATTAGTAGATCACACAAATACTTGTTCCATGCGGGATTCGAACCCTCGGATCTCAGTACCGCAACCCATTGCTAAGCCACGGGGCCGACTAATTTCTATTTTTTTGGTATAGAGTCTATACCCAAAAAGATTATATAGACCTTTTCAAGAAATATAATAAAATAAAATAAATTTATTTCTGCGACGTAATAAAATAAAATTTCGTTTGTCAAATGTCATTTATTGCATGCAATAAATTCCAACCATTCCAACGTTTTGTCGCGTGAAATCGTATCTAACAATCATATTGAACATATAAATGATATAAAAAGCAC